ACTGCCAGTCACTTTATTAATTTATAAAATCAAAAATACAATTTAAGAAAAATAAACTAGACTAAGTACTAGCTATCCCCCGTAGTTATATTTCAAACCCGTTTGAATCGACCTATCATCGTCTTTTCCCTCCAACAGACCCACTAATTACATAACTAATGACTACTGTTATCACCAAGAAAAGAAAAAGAAAAGTCAGTGCTCACTCAAAAATCCGAAAATTTGTTACCATGTTTATTCGCCAGGTGTATCCAGAGTTCCCAAGTATGAGATGCATCGGGAGCGGGTTGGTGATTCACAAACTTACTAGCACCACGTAAACGTTTGTCTTTTTTGGTTATTCCTTGAGATCGTTCCTTCTCAATCATAAGATTGCATCTGGGTTTCCAAACATTATCATATATCTGTTCAAAAAAGAATAGACATATTTTGACCGTAATAGAAATGGCCAAGTGTTTGCTCCTTACAATTTGATGTATCATAGAAACCATTCGTGATGGGATGCGAGACCTGATGATGTTATAATATCCATCATCATAACGGGAGGGTGCAATGAAAATTTCATCAAACAGATCAAAGAAATTCGAAAGGAGTGAAAGGGTATGAGTGTCTCCATTTTTCAGGATAAGATCACCAGCTAGGACTTTAGTATCAGAAATAATATTATTCATTTTTGACGAGAATGCGTCACAAGTCCATAAGTGGAGGGGTGTTTCGTTTTCAACGTGACAGCCAATACAATACCAACCCGCATATAACTCAGGATGGAGTTGTTTCATACGAGTGAGAGTTGGTAGCTCGTTGATAAAATTTTTTACAATGAAAGTCTTAAGACGAGCAAAAGCGAAAGAAGTTGAGAGAGCTGGTGTGTCCAATGAAAATAGAGACCAAATAGTAATCCAATCAATTGATGAGTTTCTGGTCATATCTTTAAGGTTGGAATTTCTGTTGAGATTTAGGAAACGATCGAAAGTTTGTGCTGAGAAGAATTCCTTGTAAAAATTGCGAACTGAGCCTTCTATAGGAACATCAAAATACTTGAAGAAAAGGGCACGTGAATTACAATTGACAAGTGAAGGGGTTAAAGAAGGAGAGCGACATCCTTGCTTAGCAAGAGAGTCAGCGATATCATTGAGAACATCACCCGTGTGTGATTTGACTTTAGTGAATGTAACAGAAAGGTTAAGTGAAGTTTGAATGTGTTTGACGAGATTCCATACAGAATAGTTAGGAGTTTTTTCAAATCTTCTGGTTGATAATGTATCCATCACGATATAACGTGAGTATCCATAGATTAGTGCTTGGCTATCAGTGTAAACGGAAATGTTTGAATCCTTAGATGAAACAATTAAGGCTGATAGCAGAGCAAATAGCTCAGCTCTGGTTGATGAAGGCCAATTGATGAGTGAAGCACAAAATTGATGTTGTAAATTCTGATCGTCAATACATATCCAACCGAGACCCATAGAACAGTCTTTAGACTTAGTATTCTTCAAAGATCCATCGGTATAAAAAGTGAGTGAAGGTGATTGACTAAGAGCAGTTTGTAAATCCAGAAGTTGTGAAAGATAAGGGGAATCTCCAAAAATTGAGTTGATAATGTTAGGGGAAATGGGTGCAACAGGAACTGCTGCAGGTCCATAGAATGCTTCAAAAGCTATTCGAGTAATTTCCATGAGGGTGTGTTCAAGTTGGTTCGCGTGAGTGTTTCTTGTTTTCCTATAAACAGGAACATAGAAAGCCCTATCCCTAGGGATACTAAAGATACATCCTCGGCGAGTTGGTGGCGTATTGAACAAGTTACATCCAGAACATTTGGTAAGAACATAACAGTGATCATTGGTAGTAGCAACTGTATGATGTACACAATGGAGCAAAGTAGGATCAGAGGTAGCATCGTAGATTTTTCCAAAAGAAGGAGCATTGATTAACGGATTCCAAGAAGCAATGACTTTGTTGTTTGTATCTACAGTAGGAGGAGGTCTAGCTAAAGATCTGTATGAAGGGAGAGGAGTACTACGAACATATTCTAGTTTAAGGGATCTATCTCTAGGATTATCAAAAACTAAGTTACCAATATCGGATACTAATCTAGAGTTACCCATGTGTGACGTAATGTGATTGAAGTCCCTAATAAGTAAGTCATGGTTAGTAATTAAATGTTTTCCTGAAACAGAGGTTAATTGATCTAGGTAAAATAAATTATGATTACGGAGGGTAGGAAGGTGACTTTCAAATAAAGGAAGTGGAAGAAGTTTAGAAAGAGGGGTGTCACCACCTTTGATTTGATTTTTTAAGAAAGGTGAAACAATTAAAGAAAGTTGTGAAGAAGTGGATTTAATAAGACTGAGGGAGGTGCCAATTAAATTGAAATTAGAAGATTTAGCCTTGTAAAGAAAAGGCCAGTGATCTAAAGGGGATGAAGCCAGCATAAACTGGGATTGAAGTTGAAACAGTCTGATGACAGAAATGTGTTTGTAGAGACAGGAGTTATTAAATTGAAATAGGAGAGCAGTGGAAAGGGATTTGATTTGTAATGACCAAAGATCATTGACATTGTAAAA